AAATATATATCTAAAAAACACATCAAGTCAAGAGAAAATCAAAATAGGCGTACATTAAAATAATGATTTTTTTCGTTACAATTAATTTTTGTGCATTCTTTGGAAACAAAATGCAGATCGTTAAATTATGTGTGTATTTTATTTCACATATAATACATCAACACATCATCCTATCTTTAATGTTTATCGTATTAAAGAAGGATAAAGTAATGTATTATATAAATCATATGCATGAAATGGAATTCACTTCTAATTGTAATATTTTGCCATGTTTGTTTTCTTCATGATTGCCCTATCAAGAAACAGGTTGAAAATCTAGACTTTTATTTAAGAGTTTCCTTATACAGCACAGAAATATTACAGAAATGTTGCAGATTGCGCTGTAATATCGCTACAACATTGTAGATGTTAGAAACTGTAATGTATATAATACATATTACGGCACAAATCTTGCAGCATTGTTACAGAGATGTTAAAAAACATTTTGAGTAATGAACTATTACATGTGGAAATATACATAAATTACACATTATATGATTGTTAATTACTTATTAATTTATGGCTTTTGCACACTGAATGCAGAAATGCTTGATGTGCGGCAAGCATTTTTTACGTATTTTTTTACGTATAGTGTGCGGGAGCCATTAGGAATTATAGTGTTCGTTGAAACATTTGTTGTCGCCGCCGAACGACAAGATTTTCCAAATTTTATAATCAGTAAAAGAGTCCGGATTATGATGCTGTTAATTCCCACACCAAGCACTGCGCCGCTACAATCCAGAGGTGCGTTCAAGAAATCGCTATTAGCGCGTTTTGTGTCCTATATTTATTTATGTCTAATAAGTGATAAAGAGAAAATAATATAAATAACATTACTCGCGTCTCCTCAAATGCACTATGTGTCTTCTAAAAGGAAAGCAAATTTGATGAAGTGTAACACAATTAATTATATCCCTGTTTGCTAATGTTAAACAAAAATGAAATGATCACTGCGTTATAATGTGTCTCTTGCTGGACAGCACTATTTGATTAGCATAAGTTTAATTATTGTTTTTTGATATTAAAATTTGCATTTTATTTAAAATTCTGCTAAGATTAATAAAAGCTTTGAGGTCCAAATTGTTCGATTAGCTAATACGTTCTGTCCGGTTAAGATTTAACATCAAGATATTCAATCGTCGATATAAGTTGCTACTGAGAACAAAAATATTTCATTGTCAGTTTAAAATGTGAACATATTTTATATTTATCCGACCTTACAAATATTTACATAATACATTCGTTATAATCCAATGATACTGAAATTATAAAGTCAATATTTGTGAATCTTTCGCGATAAAACGGTATTCGCAATTATGGTAATATATTTCTAATATTAACGGCTCATTGCGATAATTGTAATTAATCAATTGTAATTATTGGAATTCAACAGTATATTTTAATCAGCAGATGGATGTAATATAAAGTAAATTGTCAAAAAAAAATTATTTGATAGGTATTTATGTTAAAATATAAAAATATAAAAATTTACATAAAATATAAAATAATATTTAAAGAACAATGACAAAACCCGAAAAACTACAAAAGGATCCCACACGATTATGTAAAGAAAACGTTTTCGGTCACTCTGCTTAAATTATTACGTGCAGCTCTCATTAAAAATTGTAATAAGATACACTTTTATGACCAGTTTTTAAGTTTAAAAATATTTAAAACATTGCAAATACGCATCGATGAGATTTTTGAAATTATTATTAAATCTCAGTTTATATATAATATTGATCACAAATAGCCAATATTGATTTAAAAATTATCGATCGTTTACCCAATAATTCATTACACTTCTCTATGACATTTCTCTGATCCTGAATCTTGAAGAAGGCAGCTTTACTTTTCACGGTGAATGCAGTGTCAAAATTGAGATTCGTAATACATTGTTAAATAACATAAGTTTGCATTCCAAAGAATTAGAAGTAAATGAAATGGCGACAACATTAATTAATGATAATAGCACAGTTTATAAACACAGTTTATAAACCGATAGATAGAACATTCCTATAACAATGTAACGGATATTTTAACACTTAATTTTGAAAATGCAATATCACTCGGTTTGTACACACTTAATATGAAATTAGCATTATATTTGAGCATAGTATTCACAAAACTGGTTTTATGATATTTCCGTATACAGAGAAAGGAAAAAAATAATATGTATAAGTATACAAATATTAAAATGTTTAAAAATATGAACTTATAAAATATTTAAAAAACTCATTAAAACGTCGCTAATCATATTTTCGCAATTATACTTACTTAAAAACATATTTAAAACCATTTATCAGTATATAAATATAATTACGGTGTATATATTAAATGTATAATGTAATATTAGTAGCTTTAATTCAAAATAAAGAATATTGTGGCCTTTTCGTTTTTATTTTTAAAAAAATTATTATCATATTATAACAATAAATATAAATTCGTGTTCTTTCAATTTTTATATCATTTAACATAAATGGAAAATTTGCTAAAATTATAGAGCTTTTATTAAATTATAGAGTGGTCGCAACGGATTTAGAGGAACTAGGTAAACGTTTCCGTGTTGGGACGAACCAGCGTTGAAAGCCATCTTTAACATTTCTAAAGCATCATGTGAAATATCTGGCATTGTCAAATATGTCTCTAGTATGACAAGAATTCGTTGAAAATTATATGATGTGAACGTATTTTAACAGTTCTCCAATAATGTTCACTTATCTCGTGGGGATTATCGTATACCCTAAGTCTCATTACCACATTTTTTCCAACGAGAAAGGAAACGTCAATATATGGTGCAGATCGTCTTTAATATCGCAACATTTGCGTATGTACCATGGTGGCCATTATTTTTCCGAATTATATCAGCGTTAAATAATTTTTTTTTCCTGACAGAGGCTACATATATCAAGATATATAACAGAGTTCATAAAGGTATATCTGTAATATACCGTATTTCTCTGAGAAGCCATTTTGCAAAAATACGACTTCTTTTATGTAAAAAAACTAAGTCGGTTCACACACATGAGGTCAGATGAAGTTTCTGTCTTAAATTTGTGTAAAGATTCATCCTTCAAAATCTTTTAAAATAATTAGTGTATGAAGTATCCCATCTAACGCTAACTCTTCCTGAAATATTTCTAAAATGTTTCCAAAATCCCTAAATAACATTCTTAACAAAAGTTATCCGCAAAATATTTACAGAATGTAAAGCATATTCAAATTATCGTTCAATTATTAAACGTTCAAATTATACATATATCATTATTTATTCGAAACATATTCCTTATATAATTCCGCAAAATTGTAATGATCCTAGAAATTTCAAGTCCAAGAAATCTCTGAATTAATTTTTACTGGTTTGATTTGAGGATATATAACATATATAACATGTACAGAATATAAGAATATATTGCGTAACATTTTGAATATTTCATTAATATTTAAACATCCAATAAAAATTTTTTTATCGTTCCGGCACACAAATTGAACTTTCCATGAATGCAAATACCAAATAAACCAAATATAAAACTAATTAATTATTGCTTCACAATTTCAAGAAAACTACAATGACAATCCTTAGCTACCTTCTTCAAAAAATAAGATACTTAGAAAATACTGATGATCATTATATGATAAAACAGGTAAGACTAAAAGAGGCATGTACCATCGGTGATAAGTTTTGCAAGAATATGGTCGCCTTTGAATTAAACAGACATCTTGCGGATTCTGAACTTTACAGGTAACTTTTATACAATTTCAGTTTTTTCATCAATTGTATTTTTGTGGTGTGTGCGCGCGCGCGAATGCGTGCATATCGATATAGCCAAATCAAACATTCTCCTTCCTGTTTTTTCTCAATCAACATTCTATGTTATTCTAATAATGCAATACATAGAATGAATATAATGTAAGTAAAAATATACATTGTTAAGTGACATTACCAATAGAATCTTTTTTCATTTGTTTCTTCATTCTAAAATGATTACGTAACAAGTATTGTACAAGAATGGAAAAGAGTAGTACAGAACGGGAATTTAATTTTACAAAGTAAAGTTGTAATAAAGATTTTGTTGTAATATAGAATATTAATATATATAATGATACTTGATAAAATAAAAAATCATATTAGGTGTACAACTTTGCTTCCGCCGTTTTCCTATAGATGGCTTTAGTGGTAAGTGATAGTCGAAATAAATAGATCATAGACGTCATACAATAAATTTGGGCATCTGTCAACATAACCCCATAGAAACATTAGTCGATTTGTGTCTGTATCATAAAGTTATTCTCGATTGAAAATGTCAGTTTACGAGCCAAATTCTCGTCACTTGCGGGAGGTTTTAATTTTTTGCTTCAATATGAAGAAATCTGCGGCTGAGGCTCATCGAATGCTCTCAAATACTTATGATGAGGCCGCTATTAGTGAAAGAACGTGTCGTGAGTGGTTTCAACGCTTCAAGAACGGTGATTTTGACGTCGAAGACCGGCATAGCGGT